ACTAATGTTATATAATATTAGGATTAATTGCAATGATTAAATTTAAAATTGAAAGATTGAAATCTTAATTAAAATTTAATTAATTATTAAATTTTAATAAAATAATGTGATAAAAATTAGTAGCATGAATTTTGCATATTTTATAGGTGTTAATTTGAAAGAGGTGATAGAAGTTGAGAGTAAGAAAATCGTCTAGAATCGATGTGAGAACTCTTACATTTAAATTATAATAGTTTTTTATTTCTTTTAAATTGAATTTATTGATTGTTACTGAAACTTGTTACACTATTGTACTTTAATTTAAATGTTGTTTTAGATGTTGACCATATCATCATGATGAATATACATTTTTAAAAATACTATTGTTATGTATTATGTAAATGTAGAATTGAATGAAAAGAGCATATGAAGGATAAGAACTATAGTATGTTTGTATGTGCATGTTTAATTATGATGGAGCTCACCGTTTTATGGTACTAGATAGTAACGCTAAGATATTCTTACTCATAAATAAAAAAAAGATATTGATATTGAAGTATTTTAAATGATACAATTTTTAGATAGTGGTTCTGTGATGATTGTGCATATATAAGATTTTATAGACATATTATTTATACAATAAAACACATTAACTGTTATGAACTATCGTGAACAACATATCTAAAAAAGTAAATTGTCTAATATTTTTGTATTGAGTTATAGTATTTCTGACTAACATGCATATCATTTCATGTTCATTACGTTACTGTAGTTTAGAAGTAGATGCGCTCACTGATTTTTTTATTTCATTGATGTTTTAAATTAGTATTTCAGGGCTAATTTTTTAATTAAAATATGAATAATAGAAGGAATATTTATAGAATACACGGACAATAAAAAATGGGGTAAATTTTATTATATTACTTTAATTTATTTTCTTTAGTGATTCTTTTTTTTTTTCATTTGGATTATATTTGCTTGTTATAGAAAATCTAATTTTACTGTCTGATTGTTTATTCTCGTCTTAGTTATTCTAAGTTCAAGGCTGGGTCGTGACAACATGTATGCATACTAGCGGATTGAGGAGTTTGCTTCACCCCCCAAAGAAGTCTAAAGGCTACTATCTAAATGACCCATCTTGCATGATATATAGTTCATCTCAAACATGACATTGTTAAAATTGCTTGTGTATTGAAATTTAGTCATTTAAAGTGAGGTGATCAAAATATAGGTTACAAGGTTGCTTGAGAATGGGCTGATCCAACCATTAGTTCTTTTTATAGTGTAACCATTATGATGGTTCCTTAGAAAGACAATGCGTAAGGGTTATGTGTCGATGATTATGTCCTTAGCAAAATAAAGCTAAACCTCTATCGTGCATTACAACTTGTCGAACCAACTCAAGCTCACCATCTTCTTCTTCAAATTCGATATAAAGTTTGGTCATCATCAAACATATATCAATGAGCAAGGTATTTGGAAGATGCATTCAAGATGAGCAAGAGTTGTATGAATGGTTGGGCATGCCATTTGAACGGTTCATCAACCTTGTCCTTTGAACACTATCATGAGACTTATGAACATTGTTATTTGATTGTACCTCTATGACTTCGTTATCATTTATCTTTGCGATATCATGATCGTGAATGAGTCGTGGGAGGAGCTTCTGGAGCTTCTGGAGCTTCTGTAGAACATGTTGAACTTTCTACAACAACGCTATCTTCACCTCATAAAGAAGTTCAAGTTTACAGAGAAATTCCCCCTCTACATAGAATTTGAGTTGAAGATCAAGACCGATCACTCTAAGTTGAAGACAAGTAACTTAGGTTGTACAATGATAGATGTTCATGGGAGCTTGTCAGTACGACCACATGTTCCCTCATCAATCTTTAGTATGTGTGCCTTTTTCATATGTTGTCACTCAGATATTAAGATACTACTTCCAATGAAGAAGAATACAAGCAAGGCTCTAAACTTGCCTTACCAAATTTTTGAAAACCATTCAAATTGTAAGCTGGTATAAGTGGATATTCAACGAGGGTACTTTTAGTGATGGATGGGAAACCTATTGTATAATTGTTAATGATGCTTTAAGATGCACTAAAGAATTAACCCAATGATAGCAGAGTTAATCCAAATCATAATAGGACAAAAATATTATTGTTGAAATTCAAATAGATTACGACGACTTTTCAAAACAGAAAATAAACGACAACAAACATAAAATGACACCCTAGGATGATGGTGAAGGAAATAAGTGGCGGCTGGCTAGCGGGGAGATATGTTGGTAGGGAGCTGGCTGGATGTTAGCCTATGGGGCGGTTGTAGCAGGAAGGGTAGGAGGGGGTGCGATTATAGCATGGAAAAGAAAGGTAGGGCTATGCGGCTATAATAAGGTGTGGGTAGGATGTCTAGTGGCCGAGAAGAGTATGAGAATGACAACAAGCAGTAACGAAAATAGTTATGGTAATATGCAACTGTGGTTGGACAACAACAATGAGGAAGGGCTTGTGGAGAGTGAGCGGAGCAACAAGTGGTAGGGAGAAGGGATGAGGGGGACACGGGGGGGGGGGGGGGGGGGGGCTGGTAGTGGATTGGACAACAAAAGTAGGGAGTAGGTCTTGGGGCGGGCTGCTGGAAGCAAGGAGGTGGAAGTGCGGGTGTTGGTTGGCAACAGGGAAGAGGGCAATGTGGAGAGTTGGGAAAGATAACTATCCTCGTAGGAGCCAGTTACAACTGGAGCACCCATTAAGTTCTTAGAGAAGATCACCACCTCGGACGAGTTACAGCCGAGACATCTTTTTGCATTCAGATATAGTTCTAGATGGGAAAACAACCACCGATAACAAGTTGGACAAAATTCTCAAAACACAAAAAACTAAACTGTAAAACCTGGTAATAACATATTTTTATAATAAACTAAGATAACTAGGAGAGGGGAGGTGGCGGCGAGGGGACTTTGCCTAATTAGGGTCAGTCGGTTTAGTGTTCCCGCCGAAGGCCAACCGGTTTAGCCGCTGAACCAGCAGCCCCTTGCTGAACCCAAAGCCCGTTTTAGACCTCCTGCAGACCCGCGTTATGATTTAAGTGGATATTCAAGGTCCGTTTGAGACAGCTTATTTACGCGTATTGCGTTTTCAAATCGTTGACTGATTGTTTGGTAATTACGTTCGGTGGGTGGATCTGGAAACACGGGAGAGACGAGAGTTATTTTCGAAGGATCACGACCACGGGATTGACCCCACGACCCGCATTCCTTTACAGATTATTACCCCGCTGTCTTTTCGATCTCGATCTCAAGTCCCTCTCCTTACCCTAGCTCTGCGATCGATCTCCCTCACCCGTGCCTCTCTCGCCCTTAACATTGCCTTTCTCCTCTCCCTTCTCACTTGGTGCTCTGGTTACTTTTCTCTGCAAGTTCCTGCGATTTTTGGCTCTGTGTAATCATGCGGTTGTCGATGGAATCGTGACTTTCCTGATGCAATTTTTGGCTCTACGTGTTGGAATTTTTTGCGGCATTTTATATATTGGTGCTCGAGATTTTTTCCTCACGAGATTTTTGACTTTCCTCATGCAATTTTCAGTCTGTTTGAGATTTGTGATTTGTCTTTTGTGGAATTATGGATGGATTTTGAGCTGTTGATCTGATAAGCTGAGGGAACTTCATATGGTACTTTATCCTTGATGTTAGCAAGCTTCCATCTTCTATATGAATTGGAATCTATATATATCTTTTTTGAATTATCGGGCTTCTTAAGTAGCTGCTGCGGAGATCTTGTAGTTGGTGGCCTTTGCAAAGGTTTCTGATATAATTGCGTCTGAATATTATCATTTTTTTAAATGTAATTTAATATATTTTTTAGCATACACTTGATACTGTTATATGAGGTGTGTTTTTTGTTCTACTGTTTTGAAGTGATTTTTTGCTTCTTAAGTATCAAATATATTGTTATGATAGTTCCGTTGCAAACAACGTTTCTGCATAGGAGCAGAATGATCATTTATCCACGATCAGCTGCAAATCAACTATTTTCCAACTGCATAAACCAAACAGTCAACCAGCTTATCCGGATCAGCTGCTGATCAGCAGCTTATCTGAATTAGTCGTGTATCAGCAGATTGTCAATAAACTGCAATTGCCCCAAACAGACCCTAAATGAGGGCAGTTTTGAATTTGGATAGATATTTAATGATATTTTAAGATGCACTAAAGAATTAACCCAATGATAAACCCAATTAAGTAGGCGGCGGCAGCCCTCCAACTCTAATTAGGGCAAGTTGGTTTGGCCTCCCCGCTGAACTGGCAACCCTTGCTGAACCCAAACCCCGGTTCAGCCCCCCGGCAGCCTGCCATCATGATGTAAGTGGATATTCAATGAGGGTGGTTCTAATGATGGATGGGAAACCTATTGCATGCCCGGGAATGATTTTTTAAGATGCACTAAAGAATTAACTCAATGATCAAGAGTTGTCGCTATATCAAGCAAAGAAACATTGATATGCCACCTCTAATGATCAAAATCCGTAATTTATGTTCGAAAAATTCACAAATACCACTCAATTGCAAGAGAAAAACAACAAAATTCTTATGTGCCAGTGCTGCAACGAAAAAGAAAGTATAAATGATATTTCAAAGCCCTTTTGGTTGATGAGGGTGTGGGAAGGAAGAATCTTAGCAATTCTAAAGCTTCAAAGGAACCTTTCCTCACTCGCACTGTATTGATGAGATTATATTTGCTGTTGGAATCCATAATTTATTGGAGTCAATTCAGAAGCTTATTTTTTTTTTCTTCTGTAGAACTAAATCACTGTTCTTTTAGGTATTATTATTAGAAAGGGGGTAAAATGAGAAGACAAATTCTGCTTTTCATACAGCTTTTTCCATATTTTTGCAGATGCATTTTAGTGGTGCTTGATAGTTGACTCCTTTTATTGACTGCAATGATCTAGTTGGCTGATTATTCAGTAATTTATGTGTTTATTTTGATTTTGCTGTGCTATAAATGTCTTTTAATTTTCAGTCGGTAAAAAAAGAGCTCCTGAAACTGGAGAAACTAATTGAACGGGCAAATGAGAAAGGTTGGCGCAAAGAATATCCTTTTATTTTTAGCATTTTGTGTGCAAATGCTTATGATTTCAGTCTCTCTCTCTCTCTCTCTCTCTCTCTCTGGTAATGGCTTGTATCATAAAGCTCTGCCACGAAGTATCTAAATGAGGCATGGTTTTACCTTAATTGGGAGCACATTATTTGATTACATAGAGAGGAAAAAGCTGCTCAGCAAACCAGAGGAAATAACGCGCCTCATAAAGGAACTGCCCGAGGTCGCTGTTGACATAGAGGCTGAGGCTACTGAAGGTAGACCATTGCATTTCCATAGAGAAGACATAAAAGTTTATCATGGCTTTTTCCATGACTAAATTTATGAGATTTTGGATATTTTAAAATATTCAAACTTCCTTTTTTATTTTTGAATCTGCAGGAGTTCTTTATATCTCTTACTCTTGGAGTTTCTTGTTTTTCAAATTATGATTTGTACTTGAAACTGCTTACAAATTAAGGAAGATTTGAGTGCTGAAATCATTCACCATCAATATTATTACAATATTATAGGAGGTTATAGATCCAACAACAAAAAACAAGGTGCAGTAGTCCATTAATATGTATCCTTCCAATGCTCATTGCAATGATTGTTGAACTGAATTTGTATATAGTCCAATAAATTTTATGGCATAAAATCTAATGGGCTGAGTCGACACTTTGTCATAGTGAACCTATTCTGTAATATTTAAAATACTTGAGAAAACAAACTTATTCATACAAGAGCATTATCATAGACATGTTTTACCCAAAATAACTACCAAAAAATAAAATATAATTGTAAATATATAAGGAGACGGAAGAGAGAAAAATTCACAATTAAAGCACTTAAATGTCCATAAAATATCATCTGATAAAGGGGATTACTCTGGATCATCCGATGAAGTGATTTGGATTTATGCAGTATTTACGGAGGATGCCACTCCCAAAATCTATAAATAGAGTCTCACTCCATTCATTAAAGGGGTCATGGACCTAGACGATCGAGACCGAGACCAGGAACTGAATGAGGAGGAAATTTTCAAAGTTTCTCCAAACCGATGACCCGACGAATACTTCATTTCTCTATAGCTGTCGACCATCATCGACAACCGTCTACCATCCGCCATCCGCCATCCGCCATCCGCCATCAATCATTGTCGGTTGCCATCTGCTTGTCACCTTTGATGGACCTTGCGAAGTAATGACGTACATTGCAACGAAGCGCCTTGCTGAGTTACGACGTACATGGCAGAGTAACGATATACTTTACGAAGTAACAAAACACCCTACAAAATAACACAGTGTTCTAAATACCCTCCAACTATGTACCCTGCATTTTCACGGACTCCCGACCGTTTGTATAACGAAGCTTTCTGCGAATGGCATTGTAGGTCTGAATTGCTCCGCACCTTTCTTCGAGTAGTTTTTTCTTCGCCAAATTGCCCGAGGCTTATGCCTTTTTTCAATCCAATCGTATACGTTATGCCGTGCTACGCCCTGTACTCTTTTTTCTTTTAGCTGTTTGGCAAGCTGCTGTCAGTTTTGGAAAGGTAGCAGACGAGAGAGACGGTCTACGTTCATAAAGCGATGTGAATCTATCCATTCGGGTAAGAATGAGTCAAGACAGAGACAGAAAAGAGGAAAGCAAGAAGCGAAGGCGATAGTTCTCTTCTGAAAGAGAGGTCCAAGCTTATGGGACACTGTAACTTGGTCTTATAGGCCCTAGTATTGTGGACTTCCTTGTCTTCTTTTAGATGTCCAAAATTTCTTTGCAAAAAAGAGGAAGAGAACAATAGGCTTCGCTTCGTAGACTGGTTCCCCATTAGAGAAATTTTGTAACCCTTTCCTGGTTATGCGATAAGGGTTCATATTTGTATTCACAAACTTTTAGTGGAGCATTTTGGTTGGGCTAAGCCTCTTTTATTTTTTCCCTTTCTGGGGTTTTCCACGTAAAAATTTATGGCATCTCTTCTTATTATTTTTATCACCCGTGTGTGTGTTGGATTATTTACGACGCTGAGATGCTTAGCTATTACTCTACCAGTGCGAATTTTCTAGATTGCAACAAGATTCATGAAATAAAGTCAAATAAAATATGTTGAAATATTACATTAATTTTAGAAATGCCATGGATGTCCGGTAACATGTTGAATATTAACACTAATATCAGTATTACCTTGCGTGCATGTGTCTGTCTGTGTGTGTGTGTGCGTGTTGGAAACTTAATAAACATTTTTCACTATGGGTTAAGGGTATAAATGAGCTCAGATTGATCGAGTGTGTTTGGCTCATTCCATTTTGAACAAATGAATCAAATAAATGGATAATGAGTTGAACACAATAGGATCATTCTACTTGTCCAAAGTATTTCAATTGGGCAATCAAACAGGAAGTATCACAAGGTATATTTGCAAATTTCAGAGTACTAATAGGTTATGTATCTTTGTTTTTATTTCCATGATAGATAACATAAAATCAGAAGGAATGCTTTGATGCAAGAGAAGCAAAGAAATAAATGATAGCGGGGTTAATAGTCCCCTCATTTAGCTATGATATTATCCTGACAGAAATACCTTGGATATTCTGTGATTATTTATAACGTTTATGTTGTCAAAAATTGTTTTTCCAAATCTGAAAATATCATCGATTCAGACCCATTGGTTTTAATTCCTTTCTGGCATCTATTGATGTGATTCATCTTATGTCCTTAAATGAATACAATCAATTTTCTTGCATGTTTCAGAGTCCTCTAAATTTTGGTATAGAAATTCTGACTTAACAGAAAGTTTGGCTTAGCTTTTGTTATGTAATAATTTCAAAATTTTAATAGTTTTAAAAAGATTTTCTTGATGACTTCAGGTGCTAATTCTAATGTCCCAGCAAAGGATGTTACAAATCTTAATAAGGCGGAAGCACAAGGTACTTGTCAAAAAATACTTCTATGAGTTTCATTCTCACTAATTGTTATGCTATTGTAATTTGTAATTTTAGCATCTATTTGATTCTATTGTGTCATTAAAATGAGAAAATTACCTCTTTTAGGTATTTCATTAAAGGTTTATTCCTTTTGTAAGTTTTATTTCAAACAACTATGGAAAGTAGCATGAGATTATTTTATGTCAGTGGTTCCCATACCTTGGCTGAAATCTCTTATTTTATGGCGATTTGTTTTTAGGACAAAGCACATTGTGACTTTCTTTATTAGTTCTGGTTTATGAAATTGAAAATGTTTTCTTATTGGCCTCAGGTGTCATTCCGAGTCTTAAATCAAGCTTTATAACCACTACCAAGCAGATTATTTTTGAAGAAAAAAGTGAAGACTTTTTATTTCAATTTTACTTGAATCTTACATTTACTGTAGCTTTATCACAGATTTTTTATTTTATTAATGCTGAAAATGTTTGCTTAATGCTCTAGATTTTGTTCTAAGGACTTCACTAGGGGATGCAGCCTATCCTGATTTGATGGTCACCAAAGAAAAACATGAAGGTTCTTAATTTTTAGTTGAATCCTCAACTCTGTCCTGTTTTTCTACATATTCTAAATTGCAGCAGTATTTTTCATAATGCATTAGATGCTGATCCAAGCTTTTCACCAATGCATACCACTAATTATGACAAGATAATTGCTGGAGAAAAATTTGAAGGTTCTAATTTTCATTTACTCCGAGTTCTTTTTAATGGCTTCCAGAGCTTTGGCTATTTTTTACTTAGTGAGTCATTTGCAAAAATAAGTGAAAAGTAAAACAAAAAAGAAAATATTTAGAATATTAAGAATTATTATAATAAATAGTGTGTATAATATGCAATTTCAGTGGACGTGATATTAATAATTGTTAGTCAATATTACTAGAAGGCAAAGTGATGCCTGAGTTATAAATTTAACTAACATGGATTTTGAAGAGGTGAATGAGAATATAATTGTTAGAATTAAGGTTAGAAGTTGCGTAGAAGTATTATGTGGAATATAATATAGGCTTAAAGGTAAATTTTATAAGATTACAAGCATGTTAATTTTATTTTATGAAGTTGACCGTGACAAAAATAATGCTAAGATGAATTCATATATTTATCAGAACTAAATAAAGAAATGATTATATTAGAAGGATAATATAAATAACATCCATTGACTCTAAAATAGTGAAATCTCGACTCACATCCAATTTGATTGGGAACTTCAATTTTGGTCTAGGCAACTTGTACCTTATGCGTGCCAATTCAAGCCAGGATTTTGAAGCTTAAGCTGATTTGGAATTTCCTTTGATTCTTCTTGTCGCAGGAAATGGTAACAGTGATTCAAAAGTGAAGACTACTGATCAGGCAGTCATTGAAATTGATGATGAAGAGGAAGCTGTTATTGAGCTGGATGTGGGTCATGGAAACCAAGTAGCAGAGAAGGGAGGGAGTGTGAAGAAGAAGATTTGGAATTATTTGGATCCATCTGGGAATGTGCAGGGGCCCTTCTCCATAAGAACACTAGAGTATTGGATGGAAGAAGGATTCTTTGATGAGGACTTCAGGATATGGAAAGCTTCACAATCTCAAGAGGAAGCCATTCCATTGGGCGTTGCTCTTGGTTTATTGCAAGCACCTTAGGAGTTGTATTCCTGTTCTGCCTCTCAGCTGAGGATAGCTATTGACAGTTTGAATTTGACTTGAGAATTTTTTTATATATTATTATTTTTTTTCACAGCAGATATGTGAAGATTTATCTCTGTTGTATAGTTTCTTTTGTAGTTTTCAGGTAATAAGAGTGGCTTTCTTCGGGTTAATGTAAGTGTGTTGTGTTGTGTTTGATTACATGCTTTTGGTTCACCAAATGTTTGTATGGTTCTGCTCTTGAATGCAGAATTTATGGCATAACTTCTTTTTTCTTTTGCTGTTAGATGCTTTTACTTTTTAAGGACAAGTATATCTGCATATTTTATTTATGATAAAATAAGTGCAATTTAAAGTTAAATATTTAAAGTCTATAATGTTTTGGTCAAAGGTTCCTTGTTTTTGTTTGTTGCGTTATTTTGCATCTTATATAAGTCCTGTGGGTGGCAGAAATTGTTATGTGTAATCATTTTAAATTCATTATCATTTGGTTGACTTCTTTTTTTATTGTATTTACAAAAACTATTGAGAATTTGATAAATTTGAAAAATAGGGGTCGGAAGTTTTATCAAGAGTGAGGATTTGAAAAATGGATTGATGTAATTTAGCAAGTTCCTCTTTTAGTGATTGACCCTTTTCATTTTGGGTTTACAGTTTTAGCTATTTAAAGTTCATACAAAACATATATGCCATATAACCTTATTTATTTTTTATGTGCTTATTTTATTACAAAAGTATGGTCGTGCGAGACATTTTTTTCACATAATGATAAATTTTTTGACGGGCATATCCCAAAATCTCTTTTTATTGTATTATTATAATGAGACATCCAACACAAAATAAATGGGGATTTAAAATGATTGCAAGAACTAATCAAAATCAGAGATGTATAAACATATACTGTTTTGCAGACATTTTCAAATAGCTGCCATTTTCTCCTTGTTGTAACAAGTTTTTATCAAATTTTGTTTTACTTTTGAAAAAAACAGCGATCTAAAACTTTCAAAAAGGATTATAAATATATATATATATATATATATAATTATCCCAACAAATAATTGCAGCACCATGAACAGCCTTGTTAGCAATCATCACCACCCTTAAAATTAAAACATAATGGAAACCCATACATGATACATTGTCTTGCCAAAAGTAGACTAGGCTCCATCAAAGTTGAGTTAAACATGCAACAAATTAGTCACACAGAATGGCACGGTTTGAATCCTAAACCTTTACATGGGATCATTGCATGTACAACTAAATGGTTTTTATGATAGAATGAAAATGAATCCAAGAAAAAAAAAAAAAAAGGGAAAAATAAATCTGGCATCTGCCATTCTGAAGGGTTTGGGTTTATCCATCCATACATTATCCCTAATTACTTTGCATTATAGATTATTCCGGCTCTATAATTTGAAGCAACCGAAATATTTTTCCTCGATCATCAAACAATTCTTTTGATGCAGCACTTTAACAGTTCAGGTTTTAGAATCGCTGCAACAGACCTTAGAGATTAACAAAATAAGACACAATCATCATGCAGAGAACAGTACATATGAAAAACATCAATAGTAATATCATAGTTACAAAAGCAACATTTTCTGCTCACCTGTGTTATAGTTGAAGATAGACTACTGAATGAAATTTGTAAAACACAAATAAGTGATGAAAACAAAATGTTAATGATTAACCTCATAATAATGGTTAAAAGTGTGTCTATAATAATGGTTAAAACTTTAAAATCCACAGTGAAAGTTTTTGGCTGGTGTTACTTGGCATCCTCGACAAATCATCCTATGTGCCAATAACATCAATATAGCCTGAATTGGGAGGTTCTAACTTTATTTTAAACTTTTATATGCATTGATGCAACCGAGAAAATTTCTGCTAAAAATTTTAACTTAGCATTTACCTTAATCATATGACATCATGTCTTTCATAATGTTTGTCCAATTCAAAACTCTCTTTTCCATAGTGATCATCACTACCAAAGCGAAGCCCATGATGGTAGACAAAGGATATTCTAATTTTAGAAGATCAATTTGAGAATTTACCCTCAAAATTCTGAATTTGGAATGAAGCAAACCCACCTCCTAACTTTATTCCAGCTATATCCCATAAGTATATTGATCAATTCTCAATGGATGATCATCTCGATTATCCTAAAATGAATGAAACATCATATCATCCACCTTCCTCAAGAAGACCTAATGGTTGTGGTCCACCCATTAGCTCATTGGATGAAAAATATAACCCTTAAACTTTCATGGAAAAAATAAATGCCTGTTTCCAACTACATTAACCTCTTCAATGAACTCATAATTTGTTGTGATATCATAGTGAGCCCTAAGACGACAATTTTTACCCTTGAGGATACAGTTCATCATGCTCTCTAAAGGTAACGGATACTTGAAAATCCATTCCAATAAAAATTAAATTGTTCATAACAAAAGCCAACCCAATCTTGTATCATCCACTGCTAAGCGATCCATTCTCAACGGATGATTATCATGATTATCCTAAAATGGATGAAGCATCATATCATCCACCTCCCTCAGGTAGACCAAATGGCTGTGTTTCACACATGAGCTCATAGGATAAAAATAAAATAAAAATAAAAATAAATAAATTAATAGATAAATAAAAATAATTAAAAAATGGAAAACATATAGTTGGAACATCGAGTTGCAAATACACTAGAATCACAACTTAATATATAGCAAGTTAGACCGCGCATTCAAAGCATCTGCACAAGAGTCCAAATATAGATTCAAGGAACAAATTATAAATGATAATATGGTGGATGATCAAGTTGAGCTAACCCCTATGAGAACTAGGGCTGTCAAAACGGCTCGTTGTTCGCGAACAGCTCGTGTTCGGCTCGTTAAGAAGCTTGTGTTAGGCTCGTTAATTTCGTTCGATAAGTTAACGAGCCGAACACGAACTATGATGTGTTCGTTAGTGTTCGGCTCGTTTTGGCTCGAAATACTACTCATCAAGTTTATATATATAAATAAATAAATAAATAAATAAATAAATAAATATATATATATATATATATATATA